CCCCCACAACCCTGTTTGAGCATGTAAAATAGAAATTGATGTATAAGTGATTATTTGAGGTGGGGGGGTTACGTATTTTCTTGGCACATAGTTCAATTCTATACCACAAATAAATGTAACCTTCAGATATGAAAATGCAGTATTTATCAAAAATAAATTTGACTTTAAAAATGTCCTACCATTTCTGACACTCCCACTTCAGCACGTCTTCACAACAATGCTTCGGGGGGGAGGATCTTTGGGTAAATGGGCGGTGCTTTGTACCAGCAAGTGTTTAGGCGGCTCCACGTCAACCACAGGAGATTCAAGGATTTCTCAAACATGCTTGAATGAGTCAAAGCAACTCTGGGTATGTTTTTGATGATGGAATGCCATTCTACAGTGATTTAAAACAAAATGCACAAAAGTCAATTTTGCAATTTTCCCTTAAAATAAATAACATACTTGTAGAAATCAATAATTTTTCTTTAATTCTAGTCGACTCATTTCGTTTAATCCCTTTTGGACTTCCCTTCAGTCTGTGGTGCTCCACATAGGGTGCTGGACCAACAGACCTCTTCAGCTCCTCCCCCTAAAGAGGGATCTCAAATTTCCCAACATCCTCTTCTGTTCAACAACAACAGCCCCTTCCCGTTAACTGCTTCCTACGCTTCCTTACATAAAAAATCTTGGTGAGTTTGTTTTTTATTCAAGTAAATACATTTTTGGAGGGGGCAGGGCTTTTTACAATCCTGTGGTGAAAGTGTCACACTATTCTTCCAGACCACATTTGTTTTATCTCTTTAAGGATTTGGAAACTCTTCTTCTCTCCACTCTCAGCCAAACAAAGTTGTTTGATCCACTGACAATGGAGGACACCGAGCCGACAACTAGACCGAAAACAGCAGGAGGTGATGGGAATCAGGTGACAAACGACACATTGATGTCTGGCAAACCTCTGCACCGGTTTGTCCAAAGGGAGCCCAGATGTCTTGGGGTAACATCTTGTACTCTGTCCTAAAGAAAWGAGGAAGCTATGCATTGTTCTATAAACTGCACACACTTTMATAATTTCTTCCTCGTGTTTTTCYAGATTGTCCTCCTCCTATTTGCTTTTCCTGAGCTGATGATGGGATTTGTGTTGGCTGATGTCAAACTATACAGTTCCAACAATATCTATATCCCCTTCTGGCAAGGCACTCTGGTACATCATATTGTAGCTCGGTATCTGTAACATGACTTTGGTGGAGCCATTTTTGTGTTTTCTAATGTCAGTTAGTTGTGTTGGCCATTTTAAATTGGATTAACCTCATAAGTTCATCAATTATAAATGTAACCCCAGTGATTAGTTTCTGGATAAATAATAAAAAACTTTCACAGACWGAGCTAACCCTAGTAGTTTTGGCAAAGTTTTTTTTTGTAACATCTTACGTGAGCATTTGAAGTATGCAGTATTAATAACTCTCAGCCATGACCACTAAATCTTATTTGAGTAATTGTAAAATAGGCTCAGTTATAGCTATGTGTGCTAACAAAAGTCTGTTCAGACACGTCCGAGCAGCACAGTTGCTTTAGAAACAGCTAATTCAGCAAAAATTCAATAGTTCGAAGAATAAGGAAGTCTGGTTGTTTTTTCTGCTTACTTGAAGCTATGGCTGGATACATGACATCAAATCGCACATTGTAGAAGTATCAGACATAATTAGACTTGTTTGAACGCTTGTATTTTCTAGTTTTCTCTATGTGGAATCCTGTCGATCTATACTGAGTTACATCCATCCAAGAAAATGGTACGCACACTGATTTTTTTCTCCTCTAGTTGTGTTTAATGTTATATTTATTGATCCAAATATCTTTCTCCTCCACCCCCCACCACCACCAGGTGTCGGCGTGTTTGTCCATGTATGCAGTCGCTTTGGTGGGGATTCTAGTTTCCTTGGGTTACAGGATACACTTCTTCCTACTGCATCCATACACTATGTACAGATTTTCTCTGCAGATTAATGTGGTGAGTTCAAAACTTTTTTCTTAAATTAAAAAAAAAACATTTTACAGATTTTGTTATCTTTCTGTTACTGTAGGATCTGGTTGCATATGTGGAAGGCATTTTGTTCACATCCTCCCTGTGTGTGTTGGGGCTTCTTATCTTCTTGATTGTCATTGCACGTTTTGCATTAAAGTCAACACACACTCAGGTAATAAGCGTTTTATTGTTGTTTGATTTAACAGGTTCCCCACGTGCAAAAATGGGAATAATACGAAATAGTTTGATCTTTGATACAGAAAATTTGCAGCACAAAAAATATATAACTCAAGGTAAAGGAAAACTAATAAAAAAAATCACGGGACAAAAACATTAAAAAATAATATTTCAGAAAACAGCTCAATTTGCTGGGTGATGGATGAATGTGAACTTCGTTAAAGTTACTTGTCAGTGTAGAACAGGGCTACTCAACTAAATTGCTCATCATTGAATCATGAATTTAAAAATCTAATTTTACATTAAATTAAGTTACAGAACATTTTTTTTTGGGGGGGGTGGGGTGGCAGACGGAAGTTACCCGAGGGCAGGATGTGGCCCGGGGGACACCAGTTGAATAGTCTTGGTGTTGAATGTCATTTTTCACAGTCCTGATAAATATTCCTTTTTCTCTTTTTTGTGTCATCTCAGCTTATTGTCCAGTACATTCCACCGCCTCCACAAACTGAGGCGTCACACTAAGATCAGCCGTTTGGAGCATTATTCTGCACTAACACTGTTTGTAATGTATACTGTGAAAGAATTGTCTTGTTTCAGTGCAACAGGCTAATGTTACAGCTTTACTGAAACACATTTGCTTTTTGTAAACTGTATTTTTAAATGAAAGTGAACAATGCTGTTACATGTCAATATTTTATATGCACTGTATAAGGAACTTTTTTTTTTTACCTGATGTACTCAACAAAGTCATTTTTGAACTTTTCTATTATACTTCAATTTGTAACTTAATTCCAAGTTAGAAAATTCAACTTTGCATTTATCAGTTACAGTTACAGAATTGTTTAAGTATATGGCATTAACTTCAATCGATACCATCTTCTTTTAGGTACTACTTGATTTAGTTGCTACATATTATATACAGTATATTCATAATTTCTAATGTTTAAGCCAATCATTTTAGGAAATAATACAGTAAAGAAATGGACAGGTGACAACGTCAGCAGTTTTGATAAGTCTTGAGTGTTTTTTGTTGTTTCAGTGACTACATTTTAAATCAAATAAAGCATCTTGTGTCACTTTTTTGTGTTTTTACTTAATGAAAACAACTTCTGCTAATATCAGCCCTGTAGCTAAATGCATCGTCATCAAATTAGTGATGCACATGAATGGACAAACAAGAGTTCCACTGTTCCAACCCCCTACCTAATGAAACCTCAGCCAAGGGAACATGGCAGACTCAGCAGGGTAAATAAGACTATAGAACTAAAATGTATCTGAAGTTGTGACAGTACAACAAAAGAAGCCAGACGTTTTGAGGTTTTATTTCCAGTTATTTCATCAAGTAGACAAACAGTAGCTTAACATGTTGGTGGAAGTCCTCTCTTGGTGTTGGTGGTGCAGAAAAACTGATCGTCAAGCTGCAGGAAGGCAGATTTGGTCCATTTGTTTTGGTTGTTTTTCTTTTTAGTGTTCACAGTGTTTAATAGACGTAGCTGGCYGTGTACAGAGACTGCATGGAGGCCTGGTCAGCCTTGGCAGCAGGCTTGTACTCTCCTTTGGAGGCCAGGCCRTTGATCTGATTAAAGCAGAGAAGGGCAAAGTTAAATATGAGTGTTAATGATCAGCCAGGTTACACASCTGAATACAAGACCCAAAGCTTTTAGACATCAATGATTTACCAGATAACATAAAGTTGAGTAAATCGAGATAAGACTTATATAAAAGACKATTCTGGCTTGTTGATAATRAAAACTCAAGATCTGTAAGTCTCACCTTGGCGCGGTTGCAAAAGGCCTTCTGGGCAGCATCCTTGTTGGCAGGTTTGCCCTGCCAGGCTGCAAGAGCGGAGGCCTGTAGTGCTCGTCCGTAAGAGAAGGTCAGCTTCCAGGGGCGACCAATGGGCACCTGGTTGATGGCGTTCAGGTTGAGGGAGGCCTCCTCTTCACTCTGACCACCAGACAGGAAGCAGATGCCTGGAAAAAAAAACACAGAAAGACATCACTTATGCTCTAGAAATTCCCTTGTAACCAAATTCATCATGGRGGAGAAAAGCTGATCATATGACGCTCACCGGGCACTGCAGCAGGGACGCTGCGCCTCAGAGCCATCACTGTAGCACAGGCCACATCCTCAGGGGTGTATTTCTTAGGGCAGGAGTGTCCAGCAGTGACCATGTTGGGCTTCAGCAAAGTGCCCTCCAGGTACACGTGGTGGTCCGATAGAGCCTTGTACACAGCAGCCAGGACCTAAAGATGAACACGCAAAAAAAGTGTCAGAGTACGATTTCTTGTGTGGTGGAGAAAAAAAGTAACAATTTGATGTACTACACTAACTTTTTCTGTGACGTACTGGCACCGCTGCAGGTCGTGATCACCGTCAGGCAGGATCTCTGGCTCCACAATGGGCACCAGACCATTCTGGGGGAGACGACGTCATGATTAAAAACCATTATGATTACCGAGGGATCGAGAATGATCTTTGGACGAGTCAAAAATCCAAATGTCTTTGATTCAACTTGCTAAGATCGCTTCAGTCTTCTGTTGACCAAGCTAAAAAACACACCTGTTGGCATATGCTGGCATATCTGGCGAGGACATTGGCGTTCTCTGCTATAGCAAGTCCCGATGGGCAGCTGTCGGAGATCTTCAGGACACATCTCCACTTAGCAAAGTCACAGCCGTCCTTCTTATACTGGGCGCATCGCTCCGAGAGACCGTCAAGACCTAAACAATTCATGAAATGGTTCATCCGGCATCATTGTGCAGCTTTTGCCTAGAAATATTTAGATTTATTCGTAAAACTTTACTGGTCACATTAAAGTCCTTTTGGTTTACCTTGTGTGGTGGTCTCTCCATCTGTTCCAGCGAGAGCAGCTGTGCCTTTGTCAACCTACACCCCCCGCAAAAAATACAAAACACAAGTCAGGGATATGCGTAAAATGAGATCACGGTTGTTTTACAACAACTCCTTCTTTACCTTGATGCCAACAACGATCCCCTTCTCCTTGATGACCTGGGGGAAGAGCTTCCCGCAGTCTGACTTCTGGTAGAGYGTCTCGTGGAAAAAGATGACCCCACCGATGCTGTTGGCCATAGAGGCATCGGAGGAGAAAAGGATGTTGCGGTAGAAGCGACGGTTTTCCTCTGTGTTCTCCACGTTGATCTTCTGCAGCCGCTTTGCCATGGTGCCTTGATGAGAAAAGCATTAGTGTTTTTTTTCAGCTGCACGTGCAAACTGCAGTTACGCCTCATGCAGAAAATGGCAAAAGAGGCTCACCTGTCGATTCATCCGCAGCCAGGATCCCCTTTCCTGGGGCCACTATCTTCTGAGCAATGTCAGCCAGCTCCTTCTTCTTCTCCGGAGACAGGGCAGGAAACTGATAAGTCATCCTGGCAGAAACAATAATGATCACTATTAGTTAAGGGTRGCGCCTCCTCGTGATGTCTTCATGAAGAAGATCCTTGCTCCGTGCTGGGGTCTGTGGCTGCATGACCCAGAGCACCTGTTCTCCCATGTTTGTTCTGTCTTCTTCTGAATGGGTGTTCTGAACTGTAATTTCATTGTGTTCTCTGTACGATGACAATAAAGGTTTCTCTAAACTGAAAGTTGTCCAACAAGAGGCTTTAAATAGGTATGAGGAAGGTTCAGACGTTTCTGATCTAACGATAAATCTTTTGAGTCCAACATCCTGCTTCTCTTGCACCACCATGGCAGTTAAATATTTGGCTTTTGCTCTTGAACTTTGCCCTTAAAAAACAGAGAGCACATGCCTTTTCCGTGTGAAACAACATTGAAGTTGTTTGCTACAAGTTTACCCAATGCATCCTACAGAGGAACGTGCTGAAAACAGCTAAAAGTAATGTTTAAGAATTAAAGATTAGCAGCATTTGCACCAACCCAAAAAGATAAACACTGACAAGTATCAGCAGGAAACGTGACAAACACATATTTAACAGTGCTTTTATCCAACTGAGGTTGTTATTAATACACTACACACTAACTTTTCAGAATAAATTATGCACTAATGCATTTTTTAAAGAAAAGAGATTCAGTTCACTGTGAATGAATGTGCAAATCCACATGGAAGGCTGCATACAGAGAAATCCTGCAAAACACTGAACCTAAACTTTTGCCCACACTTAAAAATGTTTTTAAAGTGCCTTACTTGTTGGTTTTGTCAAACACCGACGGTAGTAAACAGTGACAGACAGGCCTGTTTTGCCTCCCAGAGCTGATCAGGCTGATGAAGCGGGCTGAAAGAGGGTGAAAGGCTGTTTTTATGGTTCTGTTGAGGGGGGAGGTGCTGGTGATGTGGCTCAGGAGGGGGATGGCTGGCCCTCTGCTCACACAATTGGCTCCAGTCATCTGACACACAGAGCACAGAGGGCGGGCTGTGGTGGTGGTGGTGTTGCATCAATGATGTGGACTTTATGGTTCATATCAGGACCTGAGACTGAGTTGGGAAACATTAAAAAAAACGGAGAACAGTTTGTGAACAGATCAGGATCAGCAGCTCCGCCTCTTGATCACTGCTCGCTGTCTGCTGCTAAAATGTGACTGTTCAGGTTCTGCTCCTGCCAAATGAGTCAAGTGTAGACACATTCACACAAACAAATGTTAATATTTTGGCTGCTAAATTGTTCAGCTTTCAACTCATAAAATAAAAGTTGCAGAACATGTCCAACATTTGGTTATTTTTGTATCTATTTAAATCTAAATGCTGCTGGCCATGGAAGGTGACAGATCATATAGCTGCATGTATCTTGGTTTTGTTTCCTTTTTAGGACCGTTTCTGGTAGGACCACTAGTCCTTCCTGGTCCTTTTATGGTAGATCGCCGTTTTGGGGTTAGAGATTAGAGTTAGGGTTATGGGCTGCTTAAAGAGAGAAGATCACAGGATCATCTCCAAGCCTGAGGCCTTTCTGTGTGGACTTTGCATGTTCTCTCTGTGCACATGTGGGTTTTGTTCATTTCCAACACTAAACTGCCTCTAGATTTGAGTGAATTGTTGGTCTTTTTGTGGTCCTGTGATGGACTTGTGACCTGTCCAGGGTGTATCCCGCACATTTCATGCCAAAACCCCTCACGCACGAACTGTTTTTGCATCAACAACTAAGACTGACATCTGTGTCCCCCCACGTACGCAACCCATCACAGCAGGTTGGGATTTTGGACCCCACGAGGTTGGGCTTGATTTGTAACGCGCAAATAATGACGAGACAGCGTTTGCACAATCTGAACCCTGCACCTGGTGCAAGGTCCCGTCTAACATTGCAGATCAGAGTTCAGTCTTTGTGAGTTTGTTTGCACGTTTTGTTTTACTCAAGTCTGAAATGAGTTAGGCTCACAATCAATATTATGCAAAGAATGCTGCCTGTCCCATGTGAGAGGATCATTAAACTGTTTCTGGTTTGAATGTTTTCAGTATATGGTAAATGAAACCAACAAGATGTAAATCATCTTTGTGGCAAATCGAAAAAGGAGCCTGTAACTGAGTTCACCACATTTCTTGGATCAGTGGGAAAACTTTTGAGTTAGTACGAAAGATGTTGTTGATTTATTTATTTATTTATTTATTTATTTATTTATTTATTTATTTATTTATTTGCCACATAACTGCAGAGAAACTCAGTTTAAATATTTCCATGAGCTTTAAGACCCTTAGACCAGGCTATTTTTAGGAATTTTTGACACTAAAACATTTAATTTGGTGACCTTAATGATTAAAGACTGGACTTTGGTTACATTTTAAATTTAACAAATAGACCAGATCAACTATTTAGTGAGGTAAAGACTGATCTCTGGGCCTTTTTGTAAAATAAACAGATTGTGTTATCTGCTGCGTGATAGGCAGTCACTATGCCTTTTGAAAGGTGCATTTGGACATTGTGTAATTGTTGGACAACACCACAAAGAAAAATTAAGACATTAAGGTTTAGACTTAATAAGTTGTCATTAAATTTAGAGCAAACTAATTATATGGTATTTGGTAAATGGTTTGGCACCTCATTATCTCACTGAGCTTTTACAGCCTCACATTCCAAATAGATCCCTGAGATCTGTAAATCAAAAGCTTTTAGTTGTTCCCAGGTCTCGGCTTGTGACCAGGGGAGACAGAGCCTTTTCAGCTGCAGGACCTCGGCTCTGGAACAACCTCCCACTGTCTGTGAGGTCTGCTGGGTCTCTAAATGAGTTTAAATCTGTTAAAAACTCATCTGTTTAAACAGGCATTTGAGTCTGAAGAGCAGGATCACTAGACCAGCCTTTGCTRTTTTGTTTGATTTTATTGTTCATTTTATTACCTACTTTGTTCATTGTTTTATTTTATGTTCTTGTGCAGCACTTTGGTTTTTATTGTGCTTTATAAATAAATGATGATGATGATGATGATGGTATTTAGTAATAGAAAGAAAACTTGCTGTTCCATTTAGAGTCGATGGGGTTGAGATTTGTAAAGTCAGTGAGGTGAATTGATGAAAGGTTGACATGGAGACCTCACATGAATTATTAAAGAACAAAGATGGCCAAATCTTTTGCTGTTCTGTATAAAGTAAGGGAGTTATTTAATGATAAAGCACTGTATATGTTGTATAATGCAATAATAGATCCAGACTTTTTTGTTTTGAACTCTGGGGGAATGCGTGTAGGACAATTACAAATCCTGTTTTTTCTATTACAGAAAAGAGCTGTGAGAATTATTACTGGAAAACATTGTTGTCACCAATCAAATTCATTATTTTATAAATTGAAAATATTGAAGTTCTTTGATTTGGTTGATCATAATATTCTACTGGTTATGTATAAGACCCACAAAACACCTTACCTTTAAACATCCAAGTAAACTCTGTTAAGAGAAAGAGTTGTTATAACCTTAAAGAGACAGAGATATTTGTAAAACCCAAATTCAGAACTAGTTTGAAGGAACGGTGTACTTTAATTCAAGGAATAAAACTATGGAATAATTTGGGGAGTGATGTAAAAAATGCAGGATCATTATGTACATTTTAGAAAATAATAAAAACTGGATTGCTAAAGAAATGTGAAACAGTATAAGGTGTATCTATATAAATTGTTGTTCTAGAGGGATTAGATGTTCTTGTCTTTTTTTTGTTAATAACATAGATTTTTTTTTGTTATATGAACTTATTCTAGAAAGAAGGGGCAGTTATAAGATTTTTTTCTTCTCTGCATCCTTTCATTTCATTTTTTTTATTTTGATATACTGTACTTTTTTCTCTCGGTTTTTTATATTTTTTCTTTTTATTGTATATTGTATATAAAATTATTTGTTTTGTTTTAATGAAATGAAAAAAGAATAGAAACTGAAATTGAATGTTGTAAGTGTAATCGCTATTTTACAAAGAATGACTTTCAATACCAGTAAAAAAGATTAAAATGTTCAAAAATACTTCATTTAGATAAATTTATATAAAAATAAATCTGAGGTGTTAGCCAGTGCCATCCATCCATTAGCCTGTCTACCACTTGTTCCAGAGTTGTGTTGCAGTGGCAGCACTTGGAGCGGAGACACAGCCACCTCTTCCGGGATAATTTAAAGGCCTTCTCAGGCTAGCTGAAAGAGTCTCTCCAGCTTGACCTGGGTCTTCCCTGGGGTCTCCTCCCAGTTGAACTAGGGTGATGTCCATCCTTATCAGCTGGTTCTTCTCCATGTGAAGGGGCAGCAGCTCTACTCAAATTATCTACCAGATAACAGAACTTCTTACCTTGGAAGAGCCCAGCTACCTTGCAGAGAAAACTCATTTTGACCCCCTATATATGAGATCTTGCTGTTTCAGTCACTACCTAAAGAACAATGTCATCATAGTTCATTGGGACCCATGGGAAATACAGAGAATGTCAGAAGTTGGTTTTATAACATATTAAGCAGAATAGGAGAAGCAAAAGTTGTCAACTTGTCAAGTTGTTTTCAATAATACCTATATTAATGAATCATGGCATACAACCTCATGGTTAGATCATTGTATSTGTACAGCTGATGCTCATGATTCCATCCAGGGCGTTCGTGTCAACTATGAATTTGCCACTAGTGATCATATACCATTTTCATTATGTGTAAACATGAATTGCATACCTTCTGTTTTGCCTGCAGACTACAATACAAGTATAGGAAAAATAGCATGGGATAACTTGRCTGAAAAAGATCTATCAGATTATTGCTATCGAACGAACAACATGTTTAGCAATATATCCTTACCAAAAGGAGCAATCTCATGCCGTGATATGAATTGTAAAGACCCTCAGCATGGTATTGACTTATGTACCTTGTATGAGAATGTTGTGAAATCCCTCCTTACCTCAAGCAAGCCACTGCATAAAACCAGCTCACATAGCACCAAGCCAGGCTGGAACGACTATGTTAGAGAGCATCATGCAGAGGCCAGAAGGGCTCTTAAAGCATGGGTTGATTCAGGTAAACAGAGACATGGCCCCTTGTTTGAATACAAAAAACAAGCAAATGCTAATTTTAAATATGTTTTAAGATGTATAAGGAGAAATGAAAATACTATGAGGTCTGACTCTCTTGATAGAAAGTTGGGAAATAATAATGTTAGGGACTTTTGGAAATAAATAAAGAAAGTAAATAACTGCAAAACGTCACTTCCATCTAATATTGATGGTGTTATTGGTGTAAAAGAAATCACTCAGTTATGGAAGGAGCACTACAGTGCGCTGTTTAATTGTGTCAAAAGTGACACTTTTGAAATAAGAGGTATTCACAGTAATGAGAATGTGAGTGTATCCCTACAAGAAATATATCATACAATTATGACACTGAAAGACAATAAGTCCTGTGGGATGGATAACATTTCCACTGAGCATTTGAAAAATGCAAGTAAGAAACTCTGTGCATTACTTTCTATGTGTTTCACTGGCTGTCTAGTACATGGTCTGTTACCTAAATCAATGTTACCTGTCACTCTGTTACCCATTATTAAAGACAAAGCGGGTAAGATTAGCTCTTTGGAGAATTACCGACCCATAGCTTTAGCTAGTAGTTTGTCGAAAGTTTTAGAAAGAGTACTACTAAATAGGCTGGGAGAGTTTGTCTTGATCTCTGATAATCAATTCGGTTTTAAACCCAAACATGGCACAGACGTGTGTATTTTTGCGCTACAGGAGATTTTAGACATGTATAATTTGCACAACACTACAGTATTTATGTGTTTTGTTGATGCCTCTAAAGCATTTGATCGTGTGAATCACCAAAAACTGTTCTGTAAGTTAGAAAGCAGAGGTGTACCCAAATATCTAATTAGAATTCTTGTCTACTGGTATGGTCATCAATCGATGTATGTCAAATGGGGTAACACAATGTCTGATTCATTTAATGTTGGTAACGGAGTAAGGCAGGGAAGTTTACTGTCCCCTTACCTTTTTAACATCTACATGGA